ACAAGCACTTTCAGTTCAAGGTATTCTGTGCCTACAGGGCAAACAGAAACCGAAGTTACTCAGTCTTCTGGATCACTTTTATTGGGCTCCCACAACTTCCAGAACATTCCTTTGTTATTGTCTTCCCCTCCTCCCGGACCCTATCATTAAAAGTACAAACAACATTTCAGAGTCCCTGCAAGAATGCCAGTCCTATCTCTCTAGATAGAAACTCTCTTTTCAGAAGGTCCACACTTCCATCTCACCTTCTTGTCTCCAAGAGGCTGTGTCCAAACATTTTGGAGAGCCTGTCTCAGAACCAGTTGAACTTCAAATCTCTGATAGCCTGAGACAAAAAAAACCAAAAGTCAAAAAAAAAAAAAAAAAGTAGGAGAAAAACTTCAGAGCTGCAGACAAGCCTATTTAGGAAAACACATTTTTCTAGACAGAAGGGCTGACCAGATGTGTGTACATAAAATACTCCTGAATACATGACCTTGGTACATTACCACATACGATGATAGCAAAAACAAAAAATAACAAACCCCACACCCAAAAAAACGCAAAACAAGAAAAAAGGTCACAGTGAGACTTTCAGGCAAACAAGCTTTTGTAAGGACACAGAAGAAAGGAAAAGACTAACTGAACAGGGAGGAAGGCTACTATTCTGGAATAGACTGTCTGTCATTTTGCAAGGTTTCAGAGCAACACACCCAGAAGCCAAGCACAGGTGAGAGGTACCAACGCATTTTCCCCCACAGCTGATAAGGAACTAACCCAGTCTCCTTCCGAACAGCATTCAAAAAGACACCTTAATCAATCTTATCGCTTATTAAATGAATGTATTTCTTGTCACAGGTGCTCACCATTGCCAGACCCTATTACAGTTATCAGTATCATATCTGCTACAGCTGATGTAGCAGGTACAAAACACAGGACACTCCCCACCCCCTATATTTCACACTCTGCAAAAAAGGATCAACAGACAAAGCCTTGAACACTTTCTGTCCTTCCTAACCTTTTCTGTATTTTATTCACTGACCTAGAGGATTAAGATCTGTTTTTTGTTAGCAAACCTAAAAAAATATTCTCTGCTATAATTTCCTGTCCATCAACTCCTCCAAACCAGCACAGAAATTCCCCAGCTCTACTACAGTGCTCCTAAAAGCTAACACAGGTGGTAAGCAGCCTGTTCACCCCCACTGGCATATATATGTGTCTCCATGGTGCTCCTTGTTGCTCCACGTGAGAGGGAACAAACTCTGAAAGGAGACCTGCCTTTCCCTTCTCCAAGGGGAAGCAAACAAACACAAACTAGATCAGGATTTAAAATAAGTCAGAAGCTGTCCTGATGCAGAGCAACTACAAATTCTCCAGTCGCTGCTTTGAAGAAGCACAAAATGGAAGTTGGTTACCAGAAAGCGTGCTCCAAGCACCTAGACCTCCACTTCCACTACAGAAAGACCCACCACCCCAACGGGGCAGAAAAGCGGGGCCCACAGATGAATGCCTGACAAGAACTGAGGTGTAGACAGGGGCAGAGAGTTGTAAAGGCAAGATGGGCACGGATGCTTTCAGTCTCACCAGAGCAGTTTAACAGAACAGGCAGCAGAGGACAGTAGCGGCCCCAGAGGTTCAGGAGAAGCGATGAAGCTACTCAGAGCCCACAGGTGCCTAAGCGAGGCACCCCGTTTCGTACCGCTCAGATCCTGCAGAATCATCGTCTCCTCTTCCTCTGCTGCGGCTATCCAACAGGTCACTTCATCAATAACCTTCTTCAGCACATCCCTGTCCAGAGCACTAAAGCAGGACCAGGGGAAAAGAGTCAGCGTGTGAGAAAAACCTCTTTACAGATGGAGCCTTGTGCCTTGCTGTGGGAATGCAAAAGCATCACTTCCCAGCATTCACCCAACTCTCCAGATCGTATCCTGTGATCTGTCTTCCTTCAGATAGACCACAGCATGCTGGAACAGCTGGCAGCGAGGCGCTCAGACCAATAGGCTTTAATACTTTTACAAAACGTGATCCGAGTGAAAGGGAGCTGTCAACACAGAAAAATATTCTCAGTACCCAGCACTGAGGAGCCACCTCTCAGAATAGTGCTCACCTGCTGACCTTCCAGCTACCCGCTAAGAGATGCTGGCTAAATATCTTCTCCTGTAGCTCATTCATGTATGGGATTCCGTCTTTGAGGAACTAAAGGGGGGGGGGGAAATGCCAGGTTGGTTACTCTCCCCTGCACTTTCTTCCAACAAATTAGAGAATAGCATGTTAGCCAGGTCCAAAATCAGCATATACTTGAAAGATGCTGGTGTTCCTCATTCTCAGAATAACCTCTTCAAAAATACAAACTGTAGGTAATGCAAGATGCATTCTTACACAACAGCAGACATGTTTATGTACGGAGGAAAGAAAAGGATTTTTATCAAGTGTAATCAATTTTTTTTTTTGCTCTGCTTTTACCTTTCCTTTAATGAAGTACTTCAAGTGTCAAGATACCACGATGCTTCCTGTCCAAAACTGCTAAACAGTGCTCTTATGTGATGACATAGTCTGAATGTAATGGGAAGTGTGGCAATATGTAAGATGCAGGTAAACTGAGACCTCCCCACCTTCATGGCTAGTAAAGACTCCCACTGGGGTCTGTTTAGTACTTAGCTTCTCTTCTCGGCTCACCACAGACTGGTTTTGTTTTGTTTTTTTGAGGTGGGGAAATGTGTTTTAGGCTGACAAAGATGCAGTTGTTATTTCAGAACAAAACAGCACTCACTGTCCCTGTTGTTAATGAACCACATGACGCATTCATGCTTTAGCAAGATGCTATTGACCCCAGAAATGCAGCATTTAGGGATATTAATCCTAATTTCTCCTGTAATTGCACAGACTTCCTCTGGTCTACATTTCTGGCAGAGAGATTACATACCTTATTGTAGTCAAAGCCGTAACGAGACAGGAACTGAATGCTAGATGCAGAGAGGGTGAATTCGACATCTGTAACTCCCCGTGTTGGA